GAATTTGTTTTCAAATTTTTGTAAACATTTCAATGCATATCTTCAAGGAAAGGAACGAAACAAAACTGTTAATTGGGTCATCCAAGTGTTGACACCATTAAGTTTTTCTCATTTTTTGAAGAAAGGTATTGAAATGTTCGCGCAAAGTCGAAAACAAATTCTCGAAAAATGCGACAGTAATCCGGAATCTAAATCGAGTACTTCCCCAAAATCTCAATATCGATATGTGTCAATTGTTATTTAACATTTCTTTGTTGATCACATTGCATATATACAATAATAACTTGTACAATAAATACCTGTAATGAAGATCGACTGGTTTGCGTAGAACTTTTGTATCGGCGTTTCTTGAATATTGGTCTTGTTCTTACAATGTACTATTTTGGATTGGTTGGAATCGTTAGTATCTAACAAATCGTCGCTCATTTTGTCAGTATCTGTGATACTTGTACTAAAGTAATACTGATTTACCTCTTTACATTTAATTTCAGCTACGATCTGCGAGTGGATGTATATAACGAGACATTAATTTCACTAAGCCAGCACCACTCTTATATACTATAAGAATTGAACCAAAAAAAAAAAAAAAAGAAATCATATATCATGTCAACATTTTTACGCAGTAGAAAAACTTTAGGTAAATATTGACAAAAACGGACCACCTTCCGAGGACAATGATTTTCACATATGTTGTCAAGGCCATCATTCTGATTAACATTCAATAGGTTTTAGGCATCGCTCTTTGTTTGTTAAAAAGTTATTTAGAAAAATTTTTTTGGTAAAAGTCCAGATTAGAGGATACCTCGCCGATGACCTTGACCTTTACATATCTAATAGAGGTCATCCTCCTGAGTAACATTTAAAAAGTTTTAGGTGGCGGTCACTCTTCATTAAAAAGTTATGGACAAAAGAAGTTCCAAAAATGCGGTATAGATTCATCGACGAAAATATGGAAGCTGAATGTTATATTCAATTACATATGCACGCACGCACACATACACACACACACACACACATTACTTGGCCGCCTGTGCCAAGTCCCTGTCGGGCGGGC